AGGCAGCTCCCCGGAGTCGAACCACTGTGGATTCTCCCCTGTGGATACCCCAACACTGGCAGGCAGACCGGATTCGACCGTCTTTCCCCTCCAAGAATTTGCATGCCAATTGGGGTGGGTGGCTCCAGGGGTTACAAGCAGAGAAGCCAAGAGAACTGCCCCCTCCTCAGCTCCACTGCACCCCTGCCCGACCTTTGGGGCAGCTTTCCAGAGATTGGGGCGGGGGCTGCTTGCAAGACCAAGTGGGTTTCCACAGGTCCACTCCAGGGCCTCTGCTGGGCTTTCAAGGCCAGGCTCGATCTACTTCCAGGTGCTTTGAGATGAAAAGTTTCACAGAATCCATACCTGGACCTGCAGCTTTTGTCTGTGAAGATCTGATGAGTCTCCAAACTTGGCCACTTTTAAGACTTTGTGACCTTCAACTCCCAGAATTGCTCAGCCACCCATGCTGGGTGAAGAATTCTGGGAGTTGAAGTCCACAAGTCTTCACATTGCCAAGTTTGGAGACCTTTGACCTATGAGAAGGGCGGTTGGGGCAGGTCTGAAGTGGCTCCCAAAGTATGAGCCCAGCCCACTCAAACGTTGGGGGGAACCGACGAGGCCAGCTTAGCTGGCGGGAGCAAGGATGGATGCTGGGAAGCCCAGCGCATCGGCTGTCTATCGCCCTCAGTGTCCGGGTTCGCTGCCCCAGAGACTCCGGGTGGAGGTGGGTGGAAAAGATTAAACAAATAACATAAATAACACAGATGCATCTTCCCTCTAGCCGCCTGTCGTTGTGAACTGTGTGTAGTGCCAACAGCCAGCCAGAGGAGAACTGGAGGTAAACCAGCCCCCTCGGAGGACGTAGTCAGCCCAACCGGTGCTGGGGAAGTTATCTTGCCTCAGGAACTGAGGTCAGGTCAGTTTGGAAAGGCCGTCAGCAGCGCCTTAGCTTGGCAGCAGGGAGGACTCTCGGCCGGTTGCTGCTGCCTGGAGCCCAGGATTCCCTCTGGCTGCTGCTCCTCCAGTCACTTCTTGCACAAAACCCTTTTCAGCGGGTGGGGGATCCAACACGGCTTGCCTGGATCTCACCACTGGATTCCAGGGAGTCTCCGCTCCAGGGAGCTGTCTCTGGAGGTCCCGCCCCAAGGAGGGAGGGTCTAAGCGCAGGCAGTGGGGACTGCAAACTCACAAACTCCTCACCCCCACCCCCGCCCCCCACCCCCGCAAGGTTGCTGGCCACGAAACCCAGCAGGAGAGATGGCCCTGGGGATTGTTCTTGTTTTCTTCCCAGAGTAACGGAAGAGTGTCCAAGAATGCATTAGAGCCCCACAAAGAACATTTCTCCCCCCCACCCCCGAGGGGGCGGGGGGATCAACTCCTCTGGAACCCTCTGGGAACCAACGGTGCCACGAAGGCTCCGAAAGGCTCCCGCTGGCAGAAGGGAGCGGAGTCCCTGCTGTTGAACAAAGCTCCTCCAATCTCACCGGCTTGTCAATGCAGAAAACCGCAGGGAGCGCGTGAAATCGGGGACCCTGGAACTCTTGCGCCCCCACCAGCTCCCCAGGGGCCGAAGCAGCACCCCCAACCTGGAGGCTCTTCGTGGTCCTGCCTCATCTCCGGTGAGAGGCAGCCTTTCCCAACCGGGGGCCTCTGCCAAGGCGGCCTCGGAGGGTTTGGGGAGGAGGCAGGGAAAGTGTTGTCACTAAAAGCTTTTTCCCCACCCGGGTGCTGGGAAGAAGCCACAGAGGAAGAGGAGGAGGAGGAGGAGGAGGAGGAGGAGGAGGAGGAGGAGAAACATCTCGTGCTGCTAGCTTTGCCGCTTTGAGGAGGAGTTTTTCTTTTGCCCCAATTGGCCCCGAGCACGTTGGGCTCCTAGAAAGAACACAAAGCAAAGAGAGGAAGTCCCCCACTTACAACGGTTTGCTTAGGGAAGCCAGATTCACGGATCAGCCGTGTTACCAAGAACAACTGCAGGGATACATGAACAACTCTGGCCAGGAGAGTCATAAAAGGGGAGAAAATTCATTTAACAACTGTCCTGCTTAGCAACAGAAAATCTGGGCTTGGCTGTGGTCGTAAGTCAAGGACTACCTGTATGCTTCTGGTCCACTGTAGGGAGGGTGCTGCCGGCAGGGTTTGAGCTAAGGGCTCTCAACCTTGGCTGGGCTCAGCTTGGGAGTTGAGGAACGTGGGCCTGGGGGATCTTGCACCCCCCCCCCAAAACGGCCCCTGGGAATGGAAGCCCCCTCCGCTTCCGATGGCTGAGGCTGGGAAAGCCTCTGCTCCAAGGGAAGGTTGGAACTCTCTTGGATGAGGCACAGCTGTCAATCATCCGGGGACCAGGCCTGCCCGGCTTCCCCCCCGACACAAGCGCCGCTGCAGGGGCTCCTGGGAAGGCGGCTTGTTGTCCTCTTGCACAATGCAACTGCTTGGCAAGCAAAAAAGCCCGCTAGCCCCCCCCCTCCGCTAAAAGCTGCGTTAGATCGCAATTGCACTGAAGTGGAGCCTCTTGCATTTAACATTCCTGTGCAGCTCGCCGAACAAAACCAGCGACAACAGACCCTTATTTCCCCAGTGGTAAATTATGACTTCAATAGGCTGAAATTACACCCTGCGTGAAGAAATCAGGGGGAAGAGAGACCAAGGCCAGCCACACTGACATTCTGGGGGCACTGGGGGGGGTGGGGAGGGAGGGAAAGGGAGCCGGTAAGCCTGTAAACCTTAGCCAGGACTACGGAACAAGGCCCGTTTGGGGGACACAGCCCGGGACCTCCACCCCCCAGGTGATGCCGCAGGGCGGGGCAGGTGATGTTGGGGAGCTGGGAAAGAGGCCCGACTCTCCCTGGCTAACATCGCACCAGGAGGGGCTGCTTTTTTGCCCTTGAGAAAGCTCTTGTGTCGTCGTCCTCCGCCTGCTCGAGACCTCTGGACCCAGAGAGCTTGATTGCGATCCAAACCACTTGCTCCTTCGCACAACAATACGGGGTGCCCTCCTCCCTCCCTCCCTCCCTCTTCTCTCTCTTTCTCCCTCTCCTCGGGGCTAGCAGATGCATACCTATCAGAGCTATGCCAGCCACAGAGGGGGATGCCCCCCGGTGGCTGCCGCTTCCTGGGCAGCGCCAACGCTTGGGGAAATGAGCAGGTCCGCCCAGTTTTATCTGCTGCCGAGCAGCACCACCACCGCTTTCCAATGACCGGCAGTGGCCAGCGATAAATGGCCTCCCTCCTCGTCATTCGAGCCCTGGGCCTCGCCGGCCCCAGCCCTCCTCTCCGGGCCCACTGGGGAGCCCTGCACCAAGGACTCTGGCAGGACAGGTTGGCCCACCAGGTGCTGCTCCATCTGCTGTTGGGCGGGTCTCAAAGGGAAACCGAGGCAGCGTTTCATCCCTTGCTGTACCCCGAGCTGGAGGGATTCTTTATACAGAGAGGGAGGAAAGGAGGGGGATTGTGTGAAGCTGTACAACGTGGTTAGTATCCGAGTCTTCCTTAGGTCTACCTAGAAATGGAGTGAGTGGTCAATTTGAGTTGGGAGGCAGTTTGATTGACAGGTCCTGTCAGGAACACGAAGAAAAGCCACTTGGCCCAAGAAGGGGCGCGAGGGTGAGAACCCCGGTGGAGGGATCCTGGCAGACGAGGCCGCGGCCAAGGGCCTCCAAGGAGGAGAGCGGTGAGAAAACGGTCCTTCGTTTCTTTGTATGTCCAACTGCCCACCTGGCTCATGGACTTCGCCATCTCTCCTGCGCTCAGAGGCCACTTGTCCGTGGGGCCAAGATGTCCTTGAGGCTCGGTCATTATCCGGGCCAAGGGCGGCTCAGCCAGCCTTCTGTGCCCATCGGAGACATCTGGAGGCTCACCCACACGGCCGGGCAAGGGCGGACGGTGTCCTCCCCAGGGATCTGCTGGCTGGGATTCAGGAAGGCCTTCAAGGCTGAAAGGTGGGGGTTAGCTCTCAACTGTTTAAAGAAGTCCTTCGTCCATCCATCCATCCACCCACCCACCTATGATGGCCTTGGTTCAGAACTTCTCATCCCCACCGCAGCTTCTCACGGGGACCAACGTCTTGCTGCCTTCAGCCCCATCACCGCCTTCCCTAGCTCGGTCACAACCTGAGCTAGTGGGCCCCACTCAATGCCTCTTTCCTGCCACTGGACAGGACCAACTGGACAATGGCTCTCTCCGCTGGAGATGCCCACGGATGCCTTCCCTTCTGCCTGGCACCGGGTTTCTGAGCCTCCACAGAGTGTTTTAGAGTCAATGCAGCTAACTTGAAGCTCGCTTAGCTAACGGGGGCTGAAGGGAGCCGGACCCTGGCCGGACGGGTGAAGGACCGGATTTGACCCCGCAGCCTCCGGAGAACCGGGTTAGTCCGAGCGGGGAAGCGGGCAGAGAGCGGGCCAGCCAGGCAGCCGAGCGGCGTCGGCGGGAGAGCGGAACCGTCGCCTCCGTCCGAGCCCCCGGCCCGCCGCCAGGAAAGAGGCCGAGCGGCGCGGAGCCGCTGCCACCGGGTCCCTGGAGCCGGCGGGGGCGCGCGCATCTGGGGCGGGGGGGGGGGGGGGGGGGGGGGGGGCGGGGCGGGCCGGGGCTGCGGCGGGGGTGGAGCGCCCCCTGCCGGGAGCGGGAACCGCCGCGCCCCGCCCGCCCCGCCAAGCCAGCTGTCGGTGGTGCCGCCGCCGCCGCCGCCAGGGCTGCATCGAGGCAGGCTCCGCTCCGCCACAGCGCCGGCAGCCGCCAACCGAGGCAGGCAGGCGGGCGGGCGGGCGAGCTGGGGGCCGCCGCCGCCGCCGCCTCTCCGAGCAGCCGCCCGATCCGCGGAGGCAGCGCCGCCTGCCAGACCAGCGAGGCTGCAGACCCGGGAGGCAGGGAGCCCCTTTCGGAGCCAGCCTCGCCGGAGCCTTGCTGGGCCGAGCGCCGGGCCGAGCGGGGCGGGACGGCGGCGGGGGCTGCCCTCGCCAGATGGCCCGCCGGAGGGCCGAGCGGAGGCGGCGGCGGCGGCGGCGGCTGCAGTAGCAGCGAGCACCCGGGAAGCCCAGCAGCCAGCGCGGCCGCAGCCGTCGAGGAAGGGCGCCGCCGCCGCCGCCGCCGCCGCTGCCGCCGCGACTGGGAGGCGGGCGCCTAAAGCGGCCGCGCAGATGCCCCGTCCCGCCGCAGCGGGGCTTCTGCCGGGACCGGCGGGCGGCGGCGGCGGGGCGGAGGGCAGCGGCAGGTGAAGGACGCCCGCGCGCTGGGCAGCGCCACAAACCAAAGAGCGGCCAAAGCCGTTGCCGCGCTCCGCTGACGGGCCAGGCGGGAAGGCTGCTGGCTCGGGGAGCCGCCGAGGCAGCGAGCCGAGGAACCGGACCCGCCGCCCGCTGGCCCGTTCGCCTCTCGCCGGCGCTTGGAACGCTCCGCCCGGCCGCCGCTTGTGGATTACCCGCCGCCGCCGCCGCCGCTTCTTGGATAGTTACCTCGCCTCGCCAGCGGTCCCCGGACGGTAAGTGCTCCGGTCGCCTCCCTCCCTCCCTCCCTCCGGGCTCGAGGGGTCCAGCGCCCCGTCCCCGGAGCATCCTCGGGCGGGCGAGCCCCACTTCCTAACAAAGGCGGGAGCCCCGCGCGCCCTCCGCCGGGAGGGCTTCAGACAACGGAGCAGCCCCGGAGCGAGGCAGGCAGAGCCCGCTGCAGCCGGTGTCGGCTTGTCCTCCCCCCTCCCGCTCCCGGCCGGCCGTTGTCCCGAGGACGGCCGGAGCCTCGACGGGCTGCTCGCTTCGCTTCCCAAAGCGCCTTTCTCGGCGCTTGTGGGGTGGTAGAAGACCGTGCCTGCCCGCCTCCCCCCCGCCCGCCCTTTCTTTGCGGTCTCCGGGCTCCCGGCAAGGCGGCGCCGTCCAGCGGGGGACCTCCGCCCGGGCGCAAAGCCCGCTCCCAGCGCCTCTCCTGAGCGGAGCGCGGGGAGCGCTGCTAGGGGCCGGCTGCGAGCGAAGAGGAGCCAGGAACGTGGAGGGACCCCCCCACCTGTCCGGGAAAGGGACCTCCGATGCCTCGCCTTTGTCTGCCCCGCTGCAACGCCACCTCCCAGCCGGAGAGGCCGGATAGAAGGATTTCTCATGGCCCCCTCCCCCCCCCCCCCCCGGGCGATCCGGGGAGGTTTTCTGGACGGGGGTGGTGGTGGTGGGGGTTGAGACAGGGAGAAGTTAGGGTGGACCTCCTGCTCGGGCGGCTCTTGAGGCCGTCCTGCTTCGCCCTGAGCCAACCCGCAGGGGCCAGGCGCTGAGGGAGACTCCGCGGTAAGAGGTTCCCGCCAGGCAGCTCCACTCCGGAGCCTCTTCTGAAGCCAGCTTCCTTTGGGGAAGGGACCCCCTAGGAGGCGGAGGGAACAGGGGGCTCTCTTGCAAAAGTGAAGGAAGCCACAGGCACCCTGAAATCGGAGCATGGACAGAGGTTGGTGCTGTTGGGTTTAAATTCTGGGCTGTTCTGACCAACCCCCCCCCCCATCCTTGGCTGTTCTCTTGGTCTTCGTTGCAAGTCAAGCAGCTACCGGTTCTTGCCCCACAGCTTTGGTCCCCCCAACAGATCTGCTGGCAGTTGTCCCGCGGAGGCTCCGGGCAGCCTTCGGCTCCTGCTCCAACTCCGCTTATTTCAGGAGATGTTTGTGCCTGCATGCAGCTGCAGACCCCGTTTAGCAGGCTAGAATTGCTGGGCTTCTAAAACAGGTTAAGTCCCAACTAACCGATCCAATGGCCGTGTGTGGTGTGTGTGTGAAGTGAGCCCTTGACCGAAACCTTGACCTTGTTAATAGCCAGGCCGTCTTCTCCTCTGAAGGGGGAAGCGGTGTTATGTCTCCCTTTGACGCCTATGGTGGCCCTGCCAGCAACTTTCCAAGGATGTTGGTTTGTTTGGCTGGCATCCTGCTCTTTTGGGAGCTGCTGATCCCGGTCAGGTCAGAGCGTAATTATCAGGAGCAGGAGCAGCTGTTCCGGGGAGGCTACCTGGCCAAGGTGTGCTAAGGACCAGGTTTTCACAAATGCCTTTCCAGGCTCTGGGGGAGTTGCAACAGCTGGTTCGATGTGCCTTTGCTTCCTTGGTCAGCGCCTAGATTCACTTGGGGACGTGGGGGTGCAAGGGAGGAAGCATCTTGCCTTCTCAGGTGACTTCTCAGGGTCTTCCTCTAAAGCCTCGGACCACCACTCATTTCAGAAACCAGGCACGGGCTGGGTGAGCAGCGTCGATGAAAAAAATCTATTGAGCGTGAGCAAGATAGACCTTTGTGATTAAGGCTTGGCAGCAGCCATAAATCAATTCGCTACGGGTGGGGAGAAGCGGGTGAGCGGGTGGGCGGTGGGTCTCGCACGTCCTTGTCTTTCCTCCCCAGAGCGGGCAGCGCTGGGGCTCCTGCCTGGTGGAATGGCTGCTCTCCGACCCCCAAATCCCAGGTGGGCAGGTTGGCCAGGCTCCTAGCAGAGGCAGGTGGGCGGTGGGGGGAGGGGAGAGAAATTCCCTTTGCCCATGCTCAGAGAGGCCCTTTTCTTCATTCTTCTCACTTTGGGTGCCACTCGGCCGAGTCTTCCTGATGGTAAAACAGCCGGGAGACCCACGAAAGAATTTTGACTGGAAAATCGCTGGCCTTGTGTTGGGGGGTGTGGGGAGAAGGGTGGTCATGGGGGTGTTTGTGGGGGATGGTTGCGGAGGCTGGGAAAGCAGGCACCCTTAGAGCCACTTTGACATCATGGCAAAGACACCAGGCCAGAAACCAGGAGGCAGCGAGTTCTAGTCTCGCCTTGGGTATGAAAGCCCACCGAGTGAGTTTGGGGCAATCACTTGCTCTCAGCTGAGCCTACCTCACAGGGTTGTCGTTTTGAGGAAAAATAGGAGGAGGAAGTTGTGATGGATATGTTTGCCGTGTGTTGGGTTATTTGTAAAAATAATAAAGGCAAGATACAAATAAATAAATAAATAGACTAAATAATTAATTGATTTCCTGCACTGAAATCAATGTTGACCAACAGGATTTCAGCATCATTGTTTTGATCCGGATGGAAAACTCTGGATGTTGTTTAATAAGGGACAAGCAACGAAAGGATGCAAATAGTGAATGACGGAATTCCAACAAGAAATTTGTGGCGTCTCCATGGACCTGAATTGCAATTCCTGGGTTTTTCTGGGAGGCTCAGGAAAGCTGTGTTGATCCCAGGAATTCCAACCACATTTGCAAAACATTTGGCTTCGTTCGGAGGGACCACGTGGCCCCGGAAGCTGTGCTGACAGTCCCACCGTCGATGGGTCGGCTGATCCCCCAGTGGAGGAGGGGCTGCCAGCAGCAGGAATGGGCAGCTCCTCCTTCCCTGCCCAGAAGGGATTCAGCCTAAACTGGGGGGGGGAGTGGGGGAGGAGAGGGAGGCACTGGCCCAAAGTCACCCAGCTGGCTTTCATGGCTGAGGGGGACCCTGTTTCTTGCCTGGTGCCTTCCCCGCTAAGATCAAACTGGCTCTTTTAAATGCGACTTGTTCGCCCAGTGCCTCTCTTCTCCCGGATTTCTCTTGGCCTGTGGATGTGAGGGTGGCCCCCGAAGGACTGTGAACAGGCAGGGCTCCGGTTCTTCGCCAGGCCTCGGTCTCTTATGGGGCGCTAGCACGCATCCTGGCGTTTTGACAGCATCTTGACTTTCCAAGCAGATGGCGAAGCTGAGGCCGCAATCTAGCAGAGCGGAGCGCTTTTTGCTGGGGGAGGAAGCAAGAGACCCGGGGGGGGGGGCTTGTGTGTGAAACAGGATTTGCCTGGGAATCTGTGCCCTCCCGTCGTGTGCAGTTCCTCTAAAAACAGCCTGGATGGCTTTTCAGAGCAAGGTTTAAACCAATCTTTAAGACCTGTGGACTTCAACTCCCAGAATTCCCCCAGCCAGAGCTGAAGTCCAGCCGTCTTAAAGTTGCCAAGGTTGGACGCCTCTGTTTTAAGCTTTCAAGCTTGGCCGTGGATGGATAGCACGGGAGATGGCTTTGTTAATAGCAACCATTTGCAAAGGAGAGAGCTTCCAAAGAGATATTGACTCACACGAGGAGAAGGGAAGACATAAGAATAAGAGAGGAAGGACAGGGGAAAACTTTGCTTAAAGCTTTGGATGGAATTCCTGGGCAGAGACTTATTGTTTATGACCGTTTCTCGTTTTCTGCCCAATCAGCTACTTCCCTGAGGTGTTAGAACTACCCAAATTCCTGGGCGTTGCCTTGCCTGGGAATTCTGGGAGATGTCGCGATAGACCTGGATGCATGCAATTACGATTGTTGAGCTGCCTGAGCTCATGTGACTGCAATATACAATTTTCCCAGCCAGCTTCTGACAAGCAGTCACTGGGGGGGGAGGCAGATTCACTTAACGACCTAGTGATTCATTTAATGATTGAGGTGATTTGGTTAAGAACTATAGCCAAAAAAAAGGGGTTGTGAAATTGCATGACTCTCTTAAGATTAGCCTTGCTCAACCGTGGAAAATCTGCCGCCGACTATGGTCGGAAGTGGAGGATTACCTGTGCTGCGAACAATAATAAGTGGATTCTCCCTGGAAAGGGGATCTCAAATTCTCTGCAGGAAAGGGCAGAACTGGGTTCAAACGTCACCCCAAAACTGCGACTTGCAGACGAAGGAATTGTTGAATAAACAACCCCAGGGCACAGCATACCTGGTCTGCATTCGCTTTACTGCTTGGGACGTGTGTGAAGTCAGGGGGTCGAGAAACTAGCTAAGCTCATCTGGCTTGTGACTGAACCGGGGACCAAGGGGGTTGCACCTGAGAAGCCACGCCCCTGGGCCTGCCTTCAGCCTCATCCCCGCCCCCACCTCCTGGAACCATGTTCCTCCCCATTTGCCCTTGCCAGGCAGGGTCCCGGGTGGGGTTTGGGCCGCGGCAAAGCAAAGGTGGAGCTGCTGGAGAACCGGAGAAACCGGCCGGTTGCTCAGAACCTGATTTGGAATGGCGAGCTTTGCTTTGGCTGGCTGACCTGGCTGCCCTCAGAGCAGGGAAAGGATGAAAGTGGGGGACCCCCAGCTGCAGCCAGGAGTGTGCGAAGGGCGTGGTGGGTGGTGGCACTTTGGAGGCACAGCAGGAGGCAGAGCCCCGCTTGGCTTGGGACTAAAAGCGCCTTCCGCCTGCGGACACCCTCCAGACTGATTTGGGAATTCCCGGCTGGAAAGGTCCTTCAGAACCTGGCCTGCCTCTCAGGCCTTGAGCTGGGGGTGGGGTGGGGGGCTGGGGTGGGGGGGCTGCCTGAATTGGGTGCCTTGAGCCTTTTCTTCATCCCGTCACCAGGCAGCCTCGTATAGGATGCAATCAGCCAATCCCTTCCCAGAGGAGGACTCGCCGTGGCTCTCACCCCGGGAAAGGCAATGCTTGGGGCGGGTGGAGCCACTCTGCATTTGGGCTATATTTGGGCTGTGCGTGTTGGGAGAACTCTGTCACGCTGCTTTGCAAAACCTGGTGTGTGGTTGGATGTGGTTGAGTTTTGCCAGC